CTTTCAGGAGTATTTTAAAATTTTAAACTGTTTCATATTTTTCTTTTCAAGATATCTTTTATATTGTATTTTACTAGTAACGTGAATAGCCATTTCTGTGCACTGATAGTTAGCTGCTACTGAACGTCTCTCTTTATGGAAACTTTAAAATTTTAAAAAAGTAATAAACAGTTTTAATTGGTTTTGTAGCTTTGGGTTTAAATGAAGCATTGTGTCTAGTCATAATGAAGTTTTAATGGTAAAAGCTTTTAGGGGATATCATGTATAATATGTATAATAATATTTACTGTGTAATATTTTTGATCGAATTATTACGTTGTTTAAGAAATAATGTTAAAATTTTTACGTCGTTCAGAATTAAAAATTCCACACCGAAAATTTACTCTAAAATTGTTGTACATGTGGCGCTAAAATGTAATTTTTGCTTTGAAATACAATCCATATCCATACTTCCGTACTAATATTATAAATGTGAAAGTGTGCATGTTTGTTGTGTGTTTGTTTGTCTTTCTTTCACGTCGAAACGAAGAGACGAATTGGTGTGACTTTTTGGTGTGAAGATAGTTGGAGAGGTGGGGAGTGACATAGGCTACTTTTTATTGCGTGAGAATATCTCATTCCCACGGGAAAACAGATTATAATACAACCCAAAAAAATATGATCAAAATTACTTGAGACTTGGTATTAAAGCTCTTCAATACAATTAAAGAAATACGTGTTTTAGCATTTTTCGAAATTCATCCCTTGAGGAGGTAAAATAGGGGATGAAAGTTTGTATGACACCTACCTTTTTAGAGTTTGTTTTTGTAGTTTTGGCGCGAGCGAAGCCGCGGATTCTGCCAGTAATTGTTATAAATTTTTCTTGTGTTCAAATGTAACAGTAAAATTCTTAATGGCAACAAGATGTATTTTGACATTAAATTAGAAACAAATTTCTTTATCTACGATTGCATTAGGTACCTATTTTCTTTGACCGGCAATCGATCTGCCAAACTCTATTTTAGGAGTTTTTCAGTGTTACCACGACGATTAGTGCATATTTATAATAAGCTATTTCCAATAGATTACCTCACAAATCGGGGCTACGAAGTTGGAAAGTTTGTACTGACATCGATCGATAAACTGGTGTTTTCCACTTTGACCGTCCACAAAGTAGTTTTATAACGCAAATATTACTTCGAATCGGCTCTAATCTTGCGGTCGGCTGCGATTTAATAGCAAGCTTGAAACTATTCGAAGGGCTCTCGAAAAGCAGATTATCCTAAACCAATTCGGCTCATATAATGACATTCGAGATATTTGTATTATCAAGAAGCGAGCTCTAATAGATATTTCACATTTTTTCTATTCAATTTATTTACATAACATACACATTCGCTTGGCGACATAAAATCTCTGAAAATATAGTACATATCTAAATTCATTCTTAAAACTTATGCCTTGGCAGAAGTTCCTAAGTAAAAATTATAGAGTTATATGTAATATTATGTTTTTGTTTGAAATTTTGCTAAAACATGATAAAAAAGTAACTTTATATAAATCAACATTATGGGTATTAAAGTCGTTATATTTGTTAATACTTTAATATGCTCAATGGATATTGAAAAGTTTTCACAAAACTTTGCCTTGTCGAGTTATTGATGAAAATATTCACTGTATTTTGTCAATGAAGGAAAGTATCTAATCCTTTGAAGCAATAATAATTTCGTAATTGAATTTTAAAAGAGTTTAGAGACCAACAGACAATTTAGGTTTATACTTATAATTATATTATATTTAGATTTATCTTGCTATGGATCTATATTTGAATGCACCGCTATTAAGATAGAAAATTACTAATGCGAATGATTTCAATAAGTGGAATTATTATGAATTTCCTCCATTAACTATAAATGATCGTGAGTGCAGAATATCTCAGGAAAAGCCAGCGTCATGTTTCAAAATTTATATATTTTAACTATAGGTACTTAGTTACAATTTACAAGAAAACATTTAATATCAACAATTTTTTATTTCGATGCTGCAGTTAAAAATCACAGATCGCATCTACCATGTCAACTCCCTGCCGATCAATCCCGTCTTTTGTTTACTTATTGTTTTCTATTTTTTATAGGTAGGTATATTTTTTATTTTTTTTCGGCCTGACCATTCGCGTAGTTTTTAACTGCCTGATATATAAAATTCTAACTGAGCCAAATCTGTATATTAAATATTTTTTGGAAAATCTTATTGAAATAGTTATTATTATCGATACAGAGGTCGAATCTATACCTATATAGTTTTTAGAATTTTTGTATGTCGGGGAACGCATCACGAGGAAACCACTGGACTGAATTTGATGAAATTTTGTATGATGATAGCTGGTTATCCGGGTCAATATGTAGGATACTTTTTACTGCGGGAAAACATCTCATCTTTGAGAAACAGACTAAACATTAAAACGTAAGTAGGGACGAACTTGAGCGGAGTGAGGGTGAGTCGCTAGTAATAAATAAATATTTTATGACGACACGTTTGGCTCAGTTTGTAGTTGTTGTACTTGCTGTGCCAACAGTTGCGGGTTCGAGTCCCGCTGGGGGCATTCATTTGCGTGATGAGTATATGTATAGTGTATCAACTATTTGGTATCCGTAACACGAGCCTCGTAGCTTACTATGGAACTGGATGGTGCTGGATGTTTAATGTCCCAACATATTTATATTTATTGAAATATAGATATAGGTATATTTATCTATGGGAATACATTTTCAACCACTGTACCACCACTTGAAAACTTTGAATTTAAGCTAAAATGGTTAATTAATTAAATTTTCAATTACTGGACAGTAGATTACGATAATTATAATTATTAATTCCCTCGCTTTCCTTAGATGCATCCTCAGGTGCTAAACATTAGCCAATGTGTTAATCCAGGTCATGGTCTCTCTTTGTATAACGTAAATTTCATCCAAATCCGTCCAGCCGTTTTAGCGTGAAGAAGTAACAAACATACATACAAACTCTCTCAATTATAATAATAGCCAGATTAATTTAAATCCTGGATAGATTTTAATTTAAAATAGGTTTTGGTATTTGACTTCAACAAATGCACGTTAATAGTCTCAATTTTCGTCTTTATAAAATTATAAATACGTGATTTAAAATATAATAAAAATAAATACTCGTATATATGAGATTATTTGTTTTTATATATACTTATACACATTTCATTTTAAGTATGTTTTACCGTTTTACGTCTCATAATTCTCAGAAGTCCGACGTTAATCTATCGCTACGATTTCTTAACGGATTAACCTTTGTATTATAAAGCTGTAGAAATGTCACCCTAATGCTTTATGATATAGTAAAAATTAAAACTTAAAACTAAACGAACTTACTCTTTATGATTTTAAATAAATTATCTTATTTAAAATTTAAAATCGAATTTTTAGTCGATTTCGAAAATATCTGATTATGTATCTATAGTAAATGAAAACTACCAATCGGTTATTTTTTAGTTTTTAGTGTTTTTTTTTATGGTAGACACGATAACCTTTGTAAGTGTATTAAATCAGGAATTCGTTAAGAAAAAAAATAGCTTTGTCTTATTTTTTTTACATTTTGAATTTTTATGAGTGAGACATGTCAAAACAATTTCTTTTGAGCCAGAGCCAGAATTCCGAATATTAGATATTATTTAGGTTCATGTAACTTCAAGGAGGTAAATTTTATTTTATATATTGGAGTAGGTATCACTCTTATGTTATAAATGCGAAACTTTTAATAAGTGATTGAATGTGTGGATTTAGTGTGTTGGTTTCTTCCTTATATGGGTTGTATATGGCCCCTATTGATTATAGTGAGATTCCTAATATGGGATACCCATGGAATAACACAGAAGCTATATGTTATTTATCAATGCATTAGGTTAGGCTCGAGTTTAAGCCCTTAAACTAGTAAAAATAGTTCTTCATGCTCAATCTGAATTATAATTCGCATCTGTCGTCACTGAACTAATCAAGACTTAGTACTTATAACATATCTGGCTGAATTCCAGATTATTATATTTGATCATAACTTAGTATAAACGTTCCATTCCATTGGAGTTGGCTCACGTAAGATTCATTTGACATGTGACCCCTACCCGCTTTGTTCGCACGATTAAAGGGTCATATACACACAACAAACAAAAAGTACTTTATCACAATTTGTTGTGATATAGCATATTTGGTTCGTTCGTTGGTGAAGAAAAATTGCTGTTACGTTTTAATGGATATTTACATATTATATGCAGATTAATTTGTTGTACATGAATATAATATCTACGTGTATGGGTATGTATATGAGATTTTATTTGATACGCCACATTCAAGTCGTGATTATTTAGTAACGCCATGTATAGGAAGCTCAATTAGTAATTTTTTTATTCAATAAGTTCAAAAAATTATTTTTTGTTTTCTCAGCTAACAATATTTTTCACATGAAATACTAAGAAAATGAATTAATTGTTTTAATACGACGATAGTACCTATATGCCATTATGCATACTGTATTACAAATATCTTTAATCCCTCCACGACCGCGGACATGCCGGCGTGTCAGTTATCAATACATTTCTTAGAAATTTAATTAATTTCTTAGAAATTTACCTGGAGGTGTTATATATATAATACATGAATTTAATTATAAATTAGGTATATTATTATATATGTTCCAACATACACAATAAAAAACATAACATAAAATTCCGTTTGAAGTGTGTTTGTAATTACTCGCCTTCTAAACGGCTCGACCAATTTTGATGATTTTTCTTGTGTATTAATGGGGTCTCCTGGATTGTTTTTAGCGATAGTTGTGGACTGACTAATTATCACCTTTATATCTCTTATAGACTTTTCATATAAAAAAACGTATAATCCCAATTTTCAGCTTCTGACGGAACAACGCCTGCATTTCGGATCCGTTAGTATTGAAATAAAAAATTATATGCAAATAAATTAATAATCTGTTATTTTTTCTAGATGTGGACAGAGGAATTGTTCGCGCTGGCGTACAACTTGAACCAGTACAACAATCCCACCATCAAGTTCCTTGAGAAACTCCATACGAAGATAGTCCTGAAAGCTGATAAATCTGGCAAGATCCTTGTTAAAAAGTAAGTTTTTTTAGTTGTATGTACATTGTATATTGTTTATAAATAGTGTTAGTTTTCATTTTGATTTCCTCTGCAATAGGTTGAAAGCTGATGTTGTCATTAGCTTTAAGTATTTAGGTAATTATCTTTTTTTAATATTCATTTTGGAATGTTGGTACAGATATAATTGCAAAAGAGAGATAGTAGGGATTATTATTTTACAAATATAAATATATTAAATTAGAGCTTTGTTGACATTTTTATTCCTAAATAATAATTATGTATGAATTATAATCTATACATATAGTAAAATTTTAATTGAGTTGAATCTGTGCATTAAATATTATTTGGAAAATCTTATTGAAATAGTCATTATTATCGATACAGAGGCTAAATTTATAGTTTTTAGAATTTGTGTCTGTCTGTCTATGACCACATCATGGAAAAACCACTGGAGGGATTTTGCTGAGATTTGGTATGATGATAGCTGATTGTCCGGGTCAACATACAGGATACTTTTTACTATGGGAGAATATCTCATCTCTGAGTAGTCTATACTAAACCTTAAAAAGTGGGGACGAACCCGAGAGGAGCGAGGGTGAGTCGCTAGTTTACTATATATCTTTAAATATGTATGTATTTACGACGTGTATTAAAAAAACATCTAGAGCTAAGTACCTAATATCAGGATCACTGATATGCTGGTGATTAAAGTAAATCATTCAGTATGTGTATTTGGCTTACTCTGTTCTCAGTATATCGTACTTTAGACGTTGATTTTATGCACGTGTTTTTTCAACATTTTCATTTTTGAAGGAATATTATTTTACCTTTATATTTTCTCTTATATGTTTCTCACAACTCAAAATGAAACATTGAGTATACTCACTTACCTACGAGTATATGGGCCATTCCATTAGATTGAAGCGATATTTCGAGATATGTATTTTGTCAAACGAAGTATGCCTTATGATGGTGTATCTATCACTGACTTTGACGTTTGCTATTTTTGTTTGTGAAGCGTTTCTATTTGCTCTTTTAGTAAATTTCAAATAAACCCATGTCTCTCGGTGACTCATAGTTCTATCTAAAATATAGTTATACTGTGAAAATTTGACCACAGATGTGTTATGCAAATAATTGTACGAATTTCATTTTTATAATGAACGTTTTAACTTAAAAGGTAAAAAAGGAAAATATCATGAAATTCTCTTGTCAGTTGAGAAAATCTAACTAATTTAAGAAAGACGTGTGAATGCCGCTACATTATAGATTCCTAATATTGTAGCCCCTTCTTTTATGTTGGGAAATGCATATATGCATACCACCTGTATACATTCAGGTGATTGTGTAGGACTCACTGGCTAGAAAAACCAGTACTACCTACTAAAACCCAACGGAATCTCCCCCGTCTTAATGGGGCGCTGCAGGATCGCTTACGACCACGACGCCCCGACGGCAGATCTGCTGACGTAGACCACAACAACCTTGGGGTTGCTCCCACGGTCCACTCAATTATCACAGAAGTACCAGGAACAACCTTATTATTTCTTGCCTTCGCGCCCGGCTGACCGGACGCCCTCCACCACTAGAGGCATCCCTATTTTAGCCCCTGCCTAATAGTAAGATGTTAAAATGACTGAATTATTATAATAGATTACATACATGTGTACATGAGTCGAATTATAAAGAAATATGACACAAAGTTGTTCTAATAATACTAAGTCATAACGTGCGGACGGACCAAGAAATGCTTGTGATATTTTGAAGGTTAAACAATGTGCTTCTCATGATTTTCTTCCAAATATCCTTTCCGTATGTACATATTATGTAATTATGCTGTACGTATCTATATATTATATTTTATGTAGACTTACAATATATCCCACTTAAACAAAACATAAAGAGTATAAAAACTTGAATAAAACCCTGACTTCTAGGCACTAAGATGTAAAAAATAACTAAACTGGGGTTTTCATTTACAATAGATACCTAATCAAATATTTTCGAAATCGGTGCCAGCCCATGCAAAGCAAATCTAATATATTTCGATACTTAAAATACATATTTACCTATTAGATATTCATATCTTAAAATATTGTCGGCTGGCACCGACTTCGAAAATATCTGATTAGGTATCTATTCTAAATGAAAACCCTTGTTTAGTTCTTTTTTACATTTTAGTGCCTGGAAGTCGGTTTCTTTAGTTTTTATTTTTCAATTTTTAGTGCACACGTAATAAACAGGTAATTTGTAAGAAAAAAGTTTTTTAATAACATATTTGATTAAACAATTTATTTAAAAAAATGATTTATTAAAAAAAACTCGTCCGATTTGGATAAAATTTATATGGGACCACCTGGGAAGTCCACCCTTTAAAACAAAAAAAAAACATTTCCAAATCGGTTCAGGCGTCCTCGAGTAATCGGTGAACATATATAAAAAAAGATTCCAACGAATTGAGGACCTCCTCCTTTTTGGAACTCGGTTAATAAATAGTTTTTATTTACATATTAGTTATTTACCTATAAAAGAGTAAAGATCACGATCGCTAATATTTCTCCAATACTCGTATTGTTAAACGTGTATTATATCAAGGATTTATTTCATTTATTTGCGCGAGTGACATAATCCCGGCGAGCACGTGTGTATTTATATCAATATTTGCTATAATCGATCTAGCTCAATTTATTTATCTTGTATAATTTTATTGGGGCCACCTGAAACTCTTAAATAGTCGGCCTGTTTATATGAATTTTCATCGGCGTAATATATTACACATAGATATTATATTAAGGAGTAAAATTGGTTGTACGCGTTTTGATCATTCAATTTTGTTAGATCTTGCAAAAGCTTTGATGATAGATGCCATTTAATGAGTAAATTATTACTAGTTGTATGGTAGAAGGGATGTTTTGAACTTGTCAAAGAATAGCTAGTGTGTTGAAGGTACGAGAAATAATTTTTAAAATTTTAATTAATTATATTCTGGGCTGAAATTTTTACTCAACCCATTTGCAATATATTTATATACATATACATATTTAATTTGATATAAAATACTTTTCATCCATTAACCAGCTCGGTAAAGGTCGTCTTATACTGGTATCCTATACTATTTGTATGATTAAAATAAATTGCTCAATAGTGATTTATAGTATAGCAAATGTTTGTAGCATATTGGAAATACGAATTAAATATAACGAAGTATTTACTTAAATGCTCTTATTGTACATATTACATTAGGTAGGCACAATCCCCGGCTTTCCTATATGGGTTCAGGGATTAAAGCTGTCCACCGGGATGATACCTCATTTCCTTCCCGATGACCCAGAATTAGTGACGAAGTTCATTGAGATTAGTACAATAATATCAGACACAATAACAACCCAAAGCATATATGTATTGTACCTGTACATGTACCTACATAATATGTATATTTACAACTTAATTTTAATTCATCAACCAGACCAGTGCAAGTTATTAGTATCGATCGTATATTTAGTTAATGTAAATTTATTGATTCTAATATTTTATACAACTAGAAAAGTGTGTGAATTTTCTGATGTCAAATATGTTTATGTCAGTATGACATGTTCATACATATATTTATATACTCATATTAGCTTCTACTTAAGCTTCGTATTTAAATTTAGGACCCCATTTTATACGAGACCCCACTATGTATGCACATTAGGGTGTGCCAAAAAAAGTTTCATTTTTTTTCTTTAGTTACCATAAAAATATCATCCACGATGTCTAAAAAAATCTGGTAGTTTGAGATCTTAATGAGGTGGCCCATCGTGATTTTTAAATTTCCATTTAAATAACACGGGTTTTTTTTTGAATTTTAATGCGCTCAAACGAATTATTGTCCAGTCAAATTAAAACATATACTTGTAGGGAATTAAACAAACTACAAAAAAGATCTGATATGATTTTTTGCTTAGTCGACTCGTTTAAAAGTTATTCGAGGTTAAAGTTCAACCTCAAATGGTTAATGATGACTTTTACGATGTTTCATACTCTATCACAAAATAATGGCTCAAAACATAAAATATGTCAAAAAAAAATATATAGAAAAAAGTTATTGTTTATAACAAATTATTTATTGTTAAATAAACAATGAAAATTTAAATAAAAACATTTTTTTGAAATTGTTGATAACAAAGTAAAAAATAACATTTTTTTAATTTTTCCAACGATGACATATTCTAAAGCCTTTGAAGAATAGCTCTAAGAAAGGAAAAAATCTCAAATTTATAGTTTAACATTTATCACACTTGCAATGTTCATTGTTCATGTTCAAGCAGAAAATAATTATTAATTCACTATTGCATAAGTAATTGACAATTTGTGATAAAAAAATTTCTGGCGGATTATTGTTCATTTATCTAAGTCCAGTCCAGTAAGGCCATGTTTTTTTCATTTATTAAATTTTATATATAATCTGTAAAAATATTTTTTATTGATAAAATGTCCGAAATAGGCGTGGCTTGCGCAAGCCAGAGCACCCGTTTTAGGCCGTGTTTTTATCCCTCTGAGAAAATTATAAATATTGGTCTTTTTTTTAGGAATTGTCTTCTTTTTGACTCTTTTTTTAGATTTAAAAAATCTTTATTAGTTTTTGAAGTAATTGCAAAAAACTGAACCCCCTTTTTTATTTTTACTTAATTTTTTATAATTTTTGCAAGTTTTTCAAATGGAACTTGTTTTTTTTTTAAATCATCTACATACCATTCCGAATCGAATTACACCTCGTTCATATTTTTCCGAGACTGCTGAAAAAAGTTGACCTAAAAGGCACTTGTTGACTAGATTATAGGTACTCTAATATTTACGAGTATTATTTAGGTATTCGTCCGGTGAGTGAAATTCCACCATAACCATTATAGAAAATTTGAGGAAGAGAATGAATAGAATTTACCTATGAATATAAAAAAATATATTTAAAACACTAAACATCGTGAATAGTTACTAAAAAAGGAAGAAAATCTTTTGAAAAACAGAGGAGAAAAGGTA